GATGGATTATGGCATGACACATCATTGCAATATGGGTATGAGGCCCGCCGCGCCCGATTTATGATGCATGCATCATTGAGGTGCCTTGGGCCTTTGAATTCAACTTATAGGCCCGAGTTGCCGGACAACAGGCCATGAGCCTGCATATCCAGGCTTATAACACAGAAGGGGACGTTGCATCATGCGGCCAGTACAACATCATTTATGTGGAACAGCGCCGCGCGTGTGGCGGCCCAAGCGGCCGCGCGCTGCGGGGGGATCCACGCTTGCCATCCTCTTGTCAGGCTCATCAAGCTCACATGGCATAAAATAGGTCCAAATCATATTATTTGTCAATGTTAATTTTTGAACATGTGCGCTGGAGTACGCCCCTCGCGTCAGTGACATGTACATAGGTTAGTACGCCGACGTCCAGCCTGTCCAACGAGTACGGCCACCCGGCCGTGAACCGGAATTAATTGCGCTTACATACACATACGCAATGAATCATATCAATATGCCCGGCCAGCATCAATGATGCCATGGGTGCATGCCTAAGAATGATCTGATCAAGTTGGCCCTATCATTGGCATCCTCTTTTCGATCCTGAAGAACCGTGCAAAAGTCTGCGCGGTTGTTGCAGTGCAGTCCTCGAACCACCCCGACAGGCACTAAATCCAACAAAACCGCAGCAAGTCCCCCCAGACGGTCGGTCAAAAACTTGCGACCGATTTACCAGTGACGAGCAAGCTAGCCTGGGCCGCGATCACTGCGTCTGTCACGGTCAAGTGAATGCCGAGCGTTTGCCAGCAACCTCACTACTCCTCTCAGTACGCGCAGATTAATCTAGAACGACTGATCATAACGGCACATGCTATGGTTTTGTGGGTCATTGCCTTGTCTGCTAAAACGCGGACTAACCGAGGCCGCAATTGGCGGCTCTTTCGTGTCAGGTTTCCGGGTTTCGTAGAAAGGTAGCCCACAGGCTGCCTCGTTCGTACGTCCGGGATTAGGTTCGAAGCTTTGGGCTTGCTTCTACAAACCGCCTGATTACCCGGACTCGCTCCAAGAAACTAGCTCGAAGCGTTAGCTACGAATCTCACCCTGCTTTATAACAAGGCTGGTTTTCTTTCGGGTCAAACCGAAAATAGTGGGCCTTTCAGCAGCGAGGCACTGCAGCAGGCTCGAATATCGACGAGTCATCATGCGGGCGTCAGCAGGTTGCGGAAGAAGCGGATGCCCTGGAGGAGAAACAATTGGTGGTCAGTCTTTAAAGCAACACTTAGCGTATATTGTCGAGAAGATCGAATCCGGCCAACTCGACTGACTCCAGCTTCTTTCGAATGGGACTGCCGCAGCGACACTGACGGTGGTACAGTTGAGCTCCTTAGCGAGTGTTCAGAGGAAGACAATGGTTAACCTTGAAACCAGATGAGCTTTAAGTCTCGGCGTTTGCTCGTGCTCCTGCTTATGCTTCGCGCTTCGTTCTTGCATCTTTCTCCGTTGACTTTTTGCTTTCCCTTTTGACTCTTGTTTTTGCTAACTTACTCAAGTTGCGGCAAGGCTCTCACCTGCAGCGCGAAGGTGACGTCATCGTCCGTGGCGCGCATCGTCACGCGGCGGTGCTTCTGTTCCTTGGCGGGACCGATCACTAGAAGCGCCTGGAAAGAAGAAAATGGCTTTGGAATTCCGAAACGTTAATGAAAGCGCTGAGAAGCACTTTTTAAAATGTTCGTTCCGCGCGATACTGGGAAAGGGAATCCAAGGCCGATCATCAGAAGCGCCTGGAAAGGAGAAAAATGGCTTTGGGAATTCAGAAAACGTGGTTGAAACGGCTGAGAAGCACCGCTCATATGTTCGTTCTGCGCAATACTGGGAAAGGGAAGCGAAGGCCAACCATCAGAAGCGCCTGGAAAAGAAGGAAATGGCTTTGGGAATTCAGAAAACGTGGTTGAAACGGCTGAGAAGCACCGCTCATATGTTCGTTCCGTGCGATACCTGGAAAGGGAAGCGAAGGCCGAACATCGGAAGTGTCAGGAAATGAAGCGTGGCTTTGGGGGTTCGGAAAACATTGTTGAGACCGCTGAAAAGCACTGTCATATGTTCGTTCCGGGCAGTTCTGGAGAAGGGAAGTGAAGGACGATCATCAGAAGCGCCATAAGATGAAGACCGACGTCTGCGGTTCAGAATCACTGAAAAGGCTGAGAAGCACTGTCGTCTCTTGTTGATCTAGAGAACCTGTTGTTTGGATCTGCCAAAGCCAGGATAAGCAAAAAGAATCTGCTTTCGGTCCGCCATCGGTTTGTTTGTTGGGCTATGAATTGGAAGTCGCCGAAAACGCTGGAATTCCAGCAAGGGGAGAGAATCGAGAGCCGGATTGAGGGGTTCCGTCGAAGCAATGCCTCGAACTCAGTGGGTGCGAAAGGCTTCAGGAGAACGTACGTAACGCATCGACTCTTTAGAAACGAGAAGTTTGGAAAAGAAGTGCGGAACCTCTGTTCATGCCCTTCAGGTAGCTTCCGCACTCTGGACGTCGGACTTGCTAAACCAAATGATCGATTTCAGAAAGTGCACGGTCCTCCCGCTGAGTTTCCCGGCTCTCGGTCCCCAACTTTCTTAGCTCTGCAGATAATGCAGAGAGAGACAGCGCAATTGGATTTTTCCCTGCTAGAAACAAAAAAACCCGCAAAGCATTTAGTAGACCAGTTCCTTCGAACGCCCTAAGTGGACGCTGCTAACCGGCTACTTAACGTTCACCCAGAATCTTACCTGCGCCGCCAAGACGTCACAACTGTCGGTGAACTCTCGTGACGTCAGCGGGCGGAGGAGGGTCCTCTGGCACAACCGACCGTACTCTGCCTGGAGGCCTCCCAGCAGGGCGTCTTTCTTGTTTTTCCGGAAGAGGAGGACTGCCGCGCACAACACCATCTGGGAAACATTAAGAAGTTGGTTAGAGAGTTGGTTAAGTTGACCCAATTCATCGTCTGCAATGGTTTCTTAGGGTTCTAGGTTGAAGAAGTTTGGGTTTCGATTCAAAGATAACAACAGGTCTGAAGCTTTCATTGGATTGACGAAGGGTGAAAATTCAAATTGACGTAAAGCATCTGAACGCCACACCGATGAGAGGGATTTCCGTGAATGGTGTGCGATGCAGAACGTATCACACCGCACCAAATTTGGGGCCAATCCCACCTTTCAATTGGTAGTGCTGTGGAAGGCTTTTCCCTTGCAGAAACTTGGGTCAATGACGAAAATCCGATGAAAGGCAGGAAGAAAAGGGGAAAGAAGAGTGCGACGCAGGAGCGCATTCACACCAGCCCGCCTGTTCGGGCTGCAACAGGCTCTTGAGCGCATTGAGTTGGCTTATGGCTGGTACCTCATGGAGCGAGAAATAAGAGAAGGACGTAAAGAGGCCAGGAGAAAATGTGACCCAGGAGCGCGACCCACCTGATGGTGCTGCGGCAGGCTCTTGATCGCCTGCACCGCAGTGTCCGGAAACGTCTGCGCGAACGCCTCCGCCATATGCCCAAAGCCGACCGTCCATTTTTCTACCGGAACTTCCCCCCCGCTCTCGTTCCTCAACCAACGCACTTCGCTCCCGCTCACTCCGCTTCCATCGTCAGACCTTTTCTCGCCGTCAAACACTTCTCCCAAGGTCTCCGGGCTTTCTGGTCCAAGCTTCTGCGGGGTTTTCCGTTGGCCTATTGGGCTGGGCGAATTCTGCGGCCTTGTGGGAGCGAGGGGCGGTCGTTTTGTGGGCGAGGGAGTGCTCGGGGGGACGATTACGGGGCCCCGGGGAGCTTGCTGCGCTTCGGCGATCGCGATCGAGAGCGCGAGGCGGCACACGCCGAGGGCCTTTCGCAGGTCGCCGGACGATGTCGCAAATTTCTGCGGATACGATTTTGTGAGAAGGTGTCTATAGATAGCGTTTCGCGATAATGAGGACGTCCGTGCGTGAGTTAGCGGGGCGAGGAAGCGGGCTTTCGAAACCCTAATGCGGAAAGCGTTTTCGAGTCTACTGTGAAGACCCTTGGATGCTCCACGTATGCCACCGAGAAAGTGCGGAAAGGGCAGAGGGCAGAATCGGGCAGAGCAGAGTCCACTTTCCGGCGGAGCCACGTTCCGAGCGTTGTGCATCCCTCTTGGGTGAAACCGATGGCCCCACAGGATGCAAGAGTGACAAGTTGGAAGCGGATTTCGCCTCGAGCTTTAGCGGGTTTCTCTATTCTGAGCTCAGAAACGTCATCTGCTCAGTTCCTTTCATTTAAGGTGAAAAACAGATCGTTTGAAGGAGAGAAAAGAGGACGAGGCTCCACGGTGATGAGAGTGCAGACAGGAGCGCAAGTCAGCAATCAATATGTTGACAGCAGACAGGTGAGACGGTTTACGTGTCAAAGGATAGTCGAAAAAGCAGGGCAATGAACATGTCTCAAAAGAGATGTATGCGGAGCCCGACCAAACTTGGAAGTGATGAAACGAGGGCGTGTAAGAAGTCACTTACCCGGGCGCAAAGCTCGAGAGCGATCCCGTCGAAGACAGTGAAGGGGAGGTGCGACAGCCGTTGGATGAGAATCTCCTTGATCTGCTCCTTGTCGTATGACCGGAACGACAGTTGCTCGGGGAAACCTGGATCATGGACGTCGGGTCAGTTACTTTCATTTGGGTGCAACACCTTCTCAATTCAAAGCGAGGCTTTAGCGGGAGTCCCGTTCGTTGTTTTGGCGGTGAAGATTCATCGAAGCTAATCTGGATCTTGGGATACTTGTCGTCGAGAAGCAAAGCAGCAATAATCTTGCAGCGATGGCAACGGGGGTTTCTCAGCCATGCGGTCGCCGCGACGCTCATGTGGGTCTTTCGTATTCAGACGCCCGTCCATGGCGGACCTTGAGAAATAGAAACTCGATGCGATAAGAGTCAACTTCATTAGGTCTACCGTTGCTTCTCGACATTTGCGGATTTGACGAGGCGCTGGTAGTCCTCTATTTAGCATCAGGCTGTTGTCTCCCTGATCGCCTTCATTGGAGTGACGATGAAGTAGACTCACAGTTCATGAGGCGCAGATTGGGGAGGAAGCGTTCCATCAGGTCGATGGCGTTGGCGATGCCTGCAATCGTGAAAAGCCATTGGCTTTTAGCGTCACTTGAAATCCAAACGTCCTGCGACAAATCGGACTAAGAAGAACAGGCCATCCAACGTGCAGTCCATCGCAGAGGGGTGGAAGTATCTGCTGTCTGCTGTCTTCTTTTAAAGAAAAGAGAAGCAATGTCTCTCATTCCGCCTGGACAGCAAGTTGACCGAAGAATACCCATTCAGGTGAGACTTGACGAAAAGAATCGCACTCTGCTTGCGCACCAAGTCAGCAAGCGGTCTGAAACATCACACAGGCAGAAACTTTCTGGGCCGGACGTCTAAAACGATTCAACCAGCAGACATGTTTTTCCGACGTCAACGAAAGAACTGGAGGCAAGACATTTTCTTACCGACGAGCAGACACCGCGAGCCAGGCGCCGTGGCCAGCTTGAACATCTCATACAGAACCGTCTGATCCCGCGAGACTAACCGGTCCATCTCGTCCAGAATAACGACCACCATGCCGCTTTCAGGGGGGCTTTTGGCCCCGCGGTTTGGCCCCCCGGAGAGGGCGCTTTGCAGCCGAGCGGAGGCGGCGGCCAGTTTAGAAGTGGGTTCCCACTTTGGGGCGCGGGCGGAGGGGGCAGGGGACTCTTTCTCGGTCAGGACCTCGATCTCTTGCAGTACCTGTGATGGGTAGAAGAAACGAATCAGCCACAGATTGGCGTAAGGGCTGCACTGACTTGGTTTCACGGCGAATCGGTTGACAATAGGTTGTCGAGTAGCTGCGTTTCGAAGCCTCGACGAACGAGGATGCATGCTGTATAAAAGTGGTTTTGAGCCTCCCAAAATCCAGCGGCGAGGTGCGCCTTGATGGAAAGCCTCGGGGCAAAACGGATGCAGTCGGGTCTCGGAAGGGTTTCACATCGTCGAGAAATCAGTTGGAAAGGGATGACGAAGGCTTCAGAAAGGTGGTCGGTAATAGCACAAAGACTGCCTCCTTGGAGATTGCACCCAAGGACGACCTTCGTAAAAGTGTGCATTGAACACTTATATAACCCTTGATTACAAGAGCCAAAGAATGAAACGACGTGAAATACTATCATGGACAGATGCTGCTCACCCTTTGGTAGACCTCCTTTGGGTCTCGCAGAGTCATGCAGTTGATAGCAACAACGTGCGGGATTGGGAGTCCTTCCTGCGGAGCAAGGAATTTGCCATGAGACCGATGATTGTGTAAAATGTCCTTACACTGGGTCTACCCAACCGCCCCTGACTCGCAGCCAGCATCGTGTTGTCGGGTCTTTGATGTCCTTTCAATGCAAGCTTCGACTGGCGGGCTCGTCTGAATGCAGACGCAGCTGCGGTGGCTTTACTGTAACCTCCGAAGTGAACCCTCTGTAAGGATCATTTAAGATATGCTTACGTTGCAAAAGTTGCGGGACGAGAGTGCATCAATAACTCAACAGACAATACACCCGATGTGTTTCCCAACACCACACCTTGCGACCCCCAATTCTCGGTGACATTCATAAAGCCAGCCCCGCACTTAATCTTCGATCCCATAAACAAAGATAGAAGCAACTTCAGAAACTCATTACAGTGAAGACCCGGATCATTCTCTGCCTCACCTCCGCCGCCCACTTCTTGAGCATCCCCTGCGCCTCCGAGACTGCCAGCGACTTGCCAGTTCCCGGCTGCCCGGACACGTACATGCTTCCCGGCGTCCGATCTCGGACGCTCGTCGTCAGAAAGCTCAGAATCTGCGCCCGTTCCTTGTCTCGGCATTTGATCTGAGTGGGGGCCAGGGACGGGTGCATCGCAGAGCGGGCCGCTTCAATGCAGATTGGATCTGCAAATGAGATGGGCTCGAGTTAACAGGTTAGAGAGATTGAAAGCGGGTTAATAACACTCCTTCAACGCAGATCGGATCTGCAAATGGGATCGGTTCGAAGTTAGCAGCTTAGAAAAAATGCAAGCGGGTTAGAAATTACGCACAAAGCAAGGATACACGGACGCCCAGACAAGTTTGGAGATCAAGAGAAGGCTTTGAGATCAAAGAGTTTTGTCCCAATGTCAGGGTACACGGTCCAGTTTGGGTGGTGCAAAATTGGCGGGGGTACAGCTAGAACCTGAGGTAAATTCTGACGGAGCGAAGACCACAAAGACCAGCCAGCTTCAGACATTATAACCGGTCAAACCGAGGTTGAGGCACTTTATTGCCCAAGGAAATTTTATTGAATACTACTTCAACAAGCAGCGCAAAATGGAAGCAAGAAGGTTTCTAGGAGCTGAAGGGCCTTCGTTCGAGCCCTTACCAAGTGGGCTCCACCGGTCTGGAATCGTTGGCCGCTGCATCTCAAGCTCCTCCTCTGATTGCATTGCTTCCGCTCCCATACCCGTCCCTGCTCCCGGCTCGCCCGCCTCTGCCACATTCCCACCCACTCTCCCCGCCGCTAAGTCCAAAACCTCAGACGTTGGGGAGCTTTCCGCAACCCCCAAACTCTCGCGCGCTGACACTACCTGGTCCAAGCGGGTCTGAAAGTCCTTCGCTGACTGTGGGGGGGTGCACATGACAGCGCCGTCCTCATCAGATCCCCCCCCGGTTGGAGGTGATTTGTTGGTCTTCTTCCCCCTGCTTTGAACTGGGGTCATGAAACCGGCGGGGCTGGTAGGGAGCTCGTTAACAGGGGAGCGTGACCGGACAGGAGAGGAAGGAACGCCACTTTCTCCGCGCCTAGTTCTCGTCTCTGCCAGGACTTCCAGGCTGGGCCCATCCACTAAAGCAACACTTGACCGCCGGGTTTTCCTAAGGGTTGGGGAAGGGTCTGGGTAGAGGTTAAGGGGCGGGTTTGGGGATGTATCCGGTGACCCCATAAGAGATCTGCCACGAGAAGCGCGCTCAGAGCCCGCCAGAGGTGAGGCGGTCGTCACGGTGCTAGCAGGCAATTGAATTGCTCGGCTCGATTCCCTGCCTCTGCTCATCCTCCCGGAGTCTGAGCCCCTGGCTTTGGGCGTCTCCAGACTCGGCACATCGGTTAGCCCTCCATTGGACAGCGCAAAAACTGGGCTCCCAAAAGACCGCTCCAGGTTGTCAGCCTGGTCAGCACTTTCGGCTCTGCCTCTGGTGGGCTTTGCTCGGCTCGGTTTCCGTTTGTGGCCCCTTTCTAGCTGCTCTGGGGGGGTCCTGATGTCGATCTCCGCTGCTGCAGCGGCCCCCCTGGTGCGCTTCGGGGAGGGGGTTCTGAGGTCCACTTCGAGCAGCCGCTTTACCCCCCTGGAAGGAGGGCTGCTGAGCAGGGGAGAGGGGTTCTGTGGAGGCGTGTGAAACACGTCGTCCCCACTTCCAGTGCTCAACCGGCGCACCGCACCCCGAGTGACTCTGGATTTGGATTCCGGGCTGTCTGCTGACGCAGGGAAGCTCTGGGCTGGTGTGCAGAACACCTCTTCGGGTTCGGCTTTCCGCCTAGTGGATTTACGTGGCTTCATGGCTGGGTGTGAGGCTGGTGCACTTTAAATGAGACCCGCCAGAGAGCTCGGCACTAGCGTAGTGTTCGACGCAGAAGGAGGGAAAAACTTTGCGGGCGTGGCCTATTCTACATTGGCGGACTCTCTCTCAGGATTGATGTTTGGTTGGAGCCCACTTGGACCTGTGACACCTGCACACAAATAGAGCAGTCTTGTATCCAGTATGCCAAAGGTGATTCAATTTTTCCTTTGCATCGTGAGCGCATTGCTCATGTAGTGATGTGTGACTAGATCCGCCACAATGTGTGGAATCTGAGCGGATTGCTTGAGTGGTCTGCTTATGCTTTCAGAGAAAATTTCTCGGGTAGTAGGAAGTCCCAGGCAATCCATCGCAGCTTCTGTGTGAGTCTAATCAGATTGCTTTACTTCACGACAATCTACTTGTTCCTACTCCATGTGCATCCTGATCAATCCGGTTGAAAGCTTGAACAAAGTTATCAGTATTCCACCATTCACCCCTTAAGTTGATCAAATATGTATTGTGTGCATTCTGAAAGCGGTTGCAGCTGAAACCATTATCAAAGATTGTCTCACGAAGGCTTCAAGACAGTTCATGTTGCCTTCCAAGAACGAAACCATTGCTTTGTCTGCTTTCAAACTTGATGGCTGCAGAATTTCATATGACTTTACAATGAAATTTCTATCATCCTCAAACACAATGCACATTCAGAAACGCTGCATAGAACCGGCTTGCTTCTACCGAAGCAAGCCGAGAAACAAGCTTCAGAAGTAAACCATCCACCTTACCTCCCACCCATTCAAGACACAGGCTCGTACCAATGCGCCGCTTGAACCAATTTGCGCTATGGAGTAGCCACTGAGGAAGAAAAACAACAGCCGCCTGCGCTACGTTCCAGTCAAAAGCGTCCCAACAAGCCTTCTTAGAAAGAGCTGGCACCCACATTTGCGAGTGGATGCGTGCGAGAGAGAGCCGCAATCCTAGAATTGAAAACGATTGACATCAGTGTTGGTAATACAGGTATTGGATTTGCAGTGGGCTAGCCTTTTGGTAGGTCCTAAGGATGTTGTGAAATTGGAGAGGTGATGGACTGCTCCGTCTCCGAGTCGGACAGGCTACAGAGCTGCCCTCGCGCCAAATTTGCGCTTTGTGGCGCCAAAACGAGGGGAACGATCAGACGGGCGCAATCGGTAGCGTCCATAATGCCAGCAAGGCCTACTTTGGCCGTCGGATGCTTTTTCTTACTTCACAATTCCTCGTGGCGCCCAACGTAAGGAGACAATCATTGGTCGGTGGCTGCCAGCTGGCACTGAATGAGTTTTCTCCAGCTGGCCCGTGGGACCAGTACTGTGAGTTGATTGGCCGGAGCTTGTTTCCCCCTTCTAATGAGTTCTAGCTGGCTAGGGCTACTGCTTCAAAGCATTCAGCACAGAAACCAAGGAAGCAAGCAACATGGAATGCTAGCACAACCAGCAACCGTCTGGTCCGATCTGCAACCTTTTTCAGTTACACTCTATTCCAAAGCAAAATCCTTTTGGCCGTTATGGAAAGTCAGGCGGTACGCTGTGGCCAGGGAAGTTTCTTGCAACCTGGATCTGTCCCTGTCAGAACATGGGCTCCTGAGGAATCAACTTCAAGCACTTGTTCATACAGAGCACTCCCAGGCAGGCTGTTCACTAAAAAATGGGACCAACGTGGGCAGCAGAAAAGATTAGCTGGCGCGGTGCATGCATACAGCTGTCGTGCGCATAGATCTAAAGGGGCAGCTTCTGATGGGAATGTATTTGTAGCATTGGGTCGCCAATCCGGATCCGAAAAGAGGAATGCGGGGAAGATTGCAAAGAGTTCCAGGAGGATTTTGACAGGGAAGGCTGCCAAGAAGGATGCTGGGGCTGTTTTGGAGGATGTGAAGGAAGAAGCCAAAGGTGGGGATCTTATCTATTGCATGCTTCATTTCTCATGTGATGAGACTTCGATCCTCGGTCACCTTCAAAGATGGCCATTCCCAGCCCAGCAAGATTCCTGAAAAGGAATTTCCAAGAGGAGGAACTTTTTCAACAGCTAGGCAGTTGCTTCCCTTCCGGGATGCTTCAATGTCAATGCGAAGCTGTCCATCTTGGGAAGAGCTGCACTCACTCTCCCCATGCTGTAGGTGCAAAACCTCTCAGAATGGCGAGTCTCTAGGTTTAGGCTTCTTCTGCATGTGCATTGCAGAGTCAAGTTGTCAGACTGCGGGCAGCCACAGATTCTTCCCCAAGCATGCATAAGGTTCTCAACGTGGGAAATCCATCTTGATGGGGTGCTAAGTGTGCAAGCAGCTTCAGTTTGCAGTTATGGATCGAGCACAACATCAATGACTGCACAGCTCACTGCGAGAAAAGAGAACCAAACATTGAGGCACGCTAGCAAAAGCGCGAAAACCCTAAAGCCCCTAAGTGGTAATTGTCGCCCCTAAGTGGTACTTGTCTTCGCAACTTGAGTGGCTACCCACTTGAAGCCTTACCTAACTCATGAGAAACAGGTGCTCTATAAAGTCCCACAATGTAAGTCAAACCAAGATGTTAAGTCAAGCCCTTAACCACTGCTAGATTGCTGTAGTTGATGTAGGAAGTGAACGTGGTACATGCGCAGGTGCCGCTCAATCTGCAAAGGAGGAGCTGAGCAAAGCCACCAACGGAACAGTTCAGAACGGTGCGCCGCAAGATGAGGATGACAGTCCCGACTGGCGCCGCGTTTTGCCACATGTCATCACGGCGGCGTTTGCAAACTTTTGCTTTGGTTACCACATTGGGTGAGTATAACAGACAACAGATCTGGGGCGGGGGAACTTTCTTAGGAGGAATCAATGTGCGCCTGTGCAAGAATGTTCTGGGAAAACATTTGTAAAGATGCCTTTTGAGAGTATCTCATGGAGTCAGAGATCGTTGAGTGACTTTCCGGATACGAAAGAATGTGCAAACTGGTTCAGTAAGGAATTACGAGAGTCCTACAGCATTTGGGGCCGAGAGTACCCCAATAGCAGACAATCCCCTCTCAAACCAAGTTTGGACAGAACCGACACAGTGGTGAGAGGATTTTCCAGTGCTTCGTGCAAACATTCTTTCACACGTGCTTTGTAACCTGTGCAGGGCATTGAACGGACCTTTGGAGCAAATTGCCGCAGACTTGGGCTTCGCGGGCGACACCATCACGCAAGGTCAGACTTACTAAGTTCTGAATTCACGTCTCAAGTTCACTAAGTTTCGAAATCCTCGATTTTATGATTTGGTTTCTTGCCAAGATTCTGAAGCCCCGGGTTTGGGTATATTGTTGCACCCAACAGTCTTCATGCGTTCCAGGTTTTTACACTCGATCCAGCTACCATGTATCACTCAACCAGTCCCGAACTTTCAGGCTCATAGTTCCAAACACTGCATCACTGTCGCAGTTGGAGTTTTTCAATCTTCTTGACAAGTTCACAATGTCGAGTGTGAAAGTCAAAAACTCAAAACCCGGGTTACTGTCACAGAATTTGACCTCAGTCATCTGCCCTTCGCAGGGATCTACTTCAGTCTTGATAACTCTTGAGGGCTTCAACCAAAATGTATAAAGCCACATTGGTGTATCGTTTGGTGTTGTCCATGCTTGACGATAGCAATCCGCCCCCCCCTTTCCTCCCCAAGAATAATACAGCGTCCCCACATTCATCAACCTTGACAATTTACTTGCTGTAAAACTCACTGAATTTCTTTGCTTGCCCGCCCAGGTGTGGTCGTCAGCACTTTCCTCATCGGCGCATTCATTGGGAGCGTCGTCGGAGGCCCTCTCTCCGACAGCCTCGGTCGGCGGCGCACGTTCCAGCTCGATGCGATTCCCCTCATTTTGGGACCGGCTTTGATGGCCCTTTCAAACGACGTGCCGTCCATTGTGCTGGGCAGGCTGCTCGTGGGTATTGGTGTTGGTGTGAATACGTCCCTAGTGCCACTGTACATCTCAGAGGTGAGCCAGGACAGAAGTCGGTGTGAATTGGTGAAACTAAGAGGATTCTTTTTTGATAGTCAAGGCGGGTCGGAAGTGTTTGCACAGAGGAGCTTTGAAAAGGATACTTCAAGGAGGCTGCAAATGAAGATTGACTGCAGTATGTGGTCGAGAGTGCATCTTTTCAGATCAGAAAGAAAGTCGAAGGAAAGAAACATTTGTCAGGTTGTTGACTGATTAAATTGGAAGCAATCCGAACCCCTCAAGTACCAAAGTTAATGTTTTATAGAGTCAGCTGAAACCGAGTGTGAATCAGTCACGTCGAAGCTTGAAGCCAAAATAGCGTTCCGTCGTCTTCGCCATTGAGCAAAATATATCTAAAACGCCCGCTGCATTCCAGATTGCGCCGACCAAGTACCGCGGCACGCTGGGCAGTCTCTGCCAGATCGGCACATGCATTGGGATCATCACAGTGCTGCTCGTGGGTCTGCCCGCCAAGGAAGTGGACGGCTGGTGGCGCACGATGTTCTGGCTGGGGACCATTCCAGGGTTCATCATCATGGGGGGAATGCAGTTTGCGGCGGAGAGCCCGCGCTGGCTCGGCAAGGTAAGCTCAGCTTTGAACTTTCGCATGGCGCAAACTGAAGGTCAACTTATGATCTTTCGTATGTTACAATCCGGGTATGATGGCGGACAATGTTTTGGCGTGGTACCATTCATCATTACGGCGGGATGCAGTTTGCGGCAGAGAGGTCCCGCTGGCTCGGAAAGGTGAGGATGATTCAGGAGCGTTGACATTTCATGTATAAGCCTTATCAAGAGCACCGTTACAGGTGCGAGTTGTTTTTGAGTTCTGCCTTCCGGACTTGAGGGTCCAAGGCGCACGATGTTTTGGCCGGGCGCCGTTCCGAAGTTCACATTTGTTGGCAGATACAACTTGTGGCAAAGAGCCACGTTGGCTTGGAAAGGTGGATGTGATTCTGGATCTGTGAGGTTTTGGGATTCTTGACATTTGATTTCGAGTCTTCGTTTGCGATACACATATACTCTCCGTAAACTTTGCCTGGGGCAAAACGTGGAGCCACTCTTTCACCGCTGGCTGAACATGTTCCTCTTTAGTCGTTGGAAGAACCGCCGTGCATAGAATCCGCCCATGAGCCGCAACTCGACGCAGTCGGCAAGTCTTACAATCGTGAGCTATTTGCCAAATATCACGGAGCCGCACGGGCTGTCAGCTAACACTTGCTCTTATTGAAGCGCTCAAGTCGTCGTCAATTGTCACGCTTCGTGGAGCGTGATCGAACGTTGCAAGCAAACCGGAAGCGCGCAACTTACATAATGTCGTTGTGCACAGGTTGGAAAGTGGGACGAAGCCCGGAAGACTTTAACCACTTTGTGGGGCGAGCGTTTCGTCGACGGCGCCATTGCTGATTTGGAGGCGGTTGCAGAGGCGGAGAAGCTGGAGAAGGACGAGGCCTCGTGGGCGGACATGTGGTCGCCGCGCTACAGGAAAGGTGTGGCTCTTCGGGCTCCAACAAGGCCTCTTGAGAAAGGCCTCTTGAGAAAGGCCTCTTTAGAAAGGCCGCTCAAGATTCTTAGGTCCTAGAAAATGATTGGAATTCTGAACTGCGGTTGAATCATCGTAGTGCCCGGTTCCGTAAGTTTTGCGAAGCACGGTTTGGCAAGTCGGGTGTATTGAATGTTCAATGTACATCAAGTGTTTGACGCAGTGAAGTATCAGGTAAGTTGTAAGTCGGCGTCCACATTCACGAGTGCACTTTAGTCGAAATGACAGAAATCACGTTTTGAACGTTTCGGGCGCCAATGGCTCGGTTTGCTCTGACGCTTCACCCTCAGAAGATGCGCCACTTTGTCCGCCAGGCCCATGGCAGCGTTTGCTTACCGCTCGTTGGTAAAAGTACAAGCTGTGCTGACGTCAGGAAAAGCACACCCAGACAAGCTCGGTAGTATGTCTTTCCCTATAAGTTGCCTTCCTGAAATAGACAGCCATTTTGGGAATAAGTTTCTGCTACATCGCGAGGCATTCTCCCTTTGGAAGCTGGACTGGCTCTTCTCCAACCTCTTCCGGCGGACTCACAAACGCGCAGAATCTGGCGTTCACCAACCGAGACCTGCCCTCCCTGCATTGCTTGCACTTCCCTCATCAATTTTTGTCTCCGTCAATCTTGCAAATCATCTGGTCAACGGTCGTCTTTTGAGGCTTGTCCGCTGATCATTCCACCTTCTCACTGCTTTTTTTTCACTTTTCTTCGCAGTCGTGGGAATTGGCTCCGTCTTGTTCATCTTGCAACAATTCGCGGGCATCAACGGCGTGCTCTACTTTTCCTCGACCACGTTTAAGGAGGCGGGGATTGGCTCCGACATGCTCGCGAGCGCGGCCGTCGCCGCCGCCAACCTCATAGGTAGGGGTTGATCTCCCTGCCATTTACCCCCCCCCCCCCTTTTTCTGTCTGGACTCTGTCATGCTCGCGAGCGCGCCCGTCGCCGTCGCCGCCGCCAACCTCATAGGTAGGGGTGGATCTTCCTGCGATTTACACCCCCCCCCTTTTTTGTATTGTTCAAGGAGGCGGGGACTGAGTCCAACATGCTTTCGAGCGCGGCTGTTGCCTCCGCCAGTCTTACGGTTAGGGGATGCTCTCCCTGTCATTATCGCCCCCCCTTTCGAGTTTACGTTGTTCCCCTGCTTCGCGCCCATACCGTGGTTTGAGGACCTTCGATCCTCTCCATCGAACTGCTCTTCTCCATTGCCGGGTGTTTTCGACCGGCCACACTCGCGATCCGCGCCGACTATTTTCCACTTCAGCCCCCTCCCAGTTTCCGAACCGGTCGATCCCTTCAATCCTACCGCTCTTTCCCTGCGTTTCTCATCCGATCGAAACCGTCGATGCCGCTCATCTGACGGCTCTCTTTCCTTTCCAGGCGCTCTCGTTGCTCTGTACGTTATGGACAGAGCGGGCCGTCGGAACCTTTTGATGGGCAGTTACGGGGGCATGGCCGGCTCCATGCTTTTGCTCACTGCAGCCCTAGCGGTTCCGCAGCTGCACGACTCCGGCATCGGATCCGCTCTTTCCGTCGCCGGAACGCTGGCCTACGTGTTCACTTTCGCGCTGGGCGCTGGGCCTGTTACGGCGATTCTGCTGCCCGAGATTTTTAACACCAGGATACGCGCCAAGGGGATGGCGGTTAGCCTGTGCGTGCACTGGGTGAGTGTGACTAGCCTCCGCTTGCCGATCGAGTAGCCCCGCGTGTTATTCTTAACTTTCCTGGTTTCCGCTGACGTTTTTCTTAAGCCAACGATTCTTCCGGATGCCGAAATCCGGTCGTCAAGTCAAACCGTACTTGATGATCTAGCAACATCCAAATCCGTTGTCCTGAGAGGTTTCGAGCAAGTGTTGTTCCTTCCGTGCGTGGAACGAAAGCAATCATTGGATCAAGGTGGGTTTTAGAAACACCTTAGTTTGCCGGCTTGGCTGAGTTTTTTCGTCGCCGCTTCTGCAGGTTTGCAACTACTCCATCGGCCTGTTTTTCCTAGAGGCCGTGGAGAAGGTCGGAGTCGCTTCAATCTACGCTTTTTTTGCCGCGGTCTCCCTTGCGTCTGTCGCATATGCGAGCTCCCAGATCCCCGAAACAAAGGGGCGGTCACTCGAGGAAATCGAGAGGGAGCTCTATGGACCGGCGCCGGAATAGGGACAGACTTTAGACTTCAATTCGTTTGGAGCAGCTTTCAAATGCCCTTCGGACATGTTGCTTGTCCGCACTTTTCCGTTTGGCCGGGCCAGGGGCTTTGTTCCGGTTGCGAAACGGAAGCCGGAAGTGGCGGGCGGAACGTGGCAGTGGTCGGCAGCGCGCTCGCGATCTGGACGGGGTTGGCTATTGCTAGCAAAGCTTTGTTGTTGTGAGTCGCTTGAAAGGAGATACCAATCTGCAGTGTACAAAACTGGTAAAGGGTTGATAGACACGCACGCGTAGGAATAAATGGCGCACCCAATAAGCTAGGTTTCTCCGATTGAACGGTTAGAAAGATTTTGGGCGGAACCCGGAGGCCCCGCCTCATGTGCAGCTTGGCATCGACCGGGCTTGATTGTTGTTCGTCACACGCGGCACGGGCGTATGTCTCTGCGAGCACCTTTTTAAAATACACAAGATGAGATTGAACAGGCGTGTGCTACGCATTTGCCAATTAAACAGTTGGTTGACGCCCTGCGCAGCACCACTTCGGCGCCCGGCCGGCGGTCAGCTGGCATGTCGTGCGCGGCATGCTGTGGTTGATTGGAGAATTAGTTGATCCTAAATCAAGCAAGGCAGCCGGAGTCGGACACACACTGAGTAAAGTACCTGGCTTCTGATATTCTGCGGAGTATGTTATCCTACACGTTCAAATATCGAGTACGGTCCAACAAACTTCAATGTGACCATCAGTGCCGATCTGCATATGTACTCGTGACTTAATATCTATATCGGAAAGCTATTCGAAAGAACCACTGACTGATGAAACCATTTACGTTGCATAACTCAGTCATTGGCATGTTTCTCATGCATACCATGTTAATTTGCATGAATGCTTGTACGTTAGCTTACATGTAGGTTGAGTTAGGCCTTGCACACTAGCTGCTATAGAACAGACTAGCAGCCGCACGTAGCAAGCTAGCTGCGGGGTCAACAAACCATCCCGCCGGTATGGAGTCGGAGACCGTTTTCCATGCATGGCCATGGTGGCAAAGCCTGGCGTTAATAAATCAGAACTTACCATTGAAGAAACGAACTATAAATGCTGTATATTTCGCTCAGTGCCCATGTTCACGGTGGCGTGTGGTGCCTAGCCTGAGCAGGCTCACGCGGCAGTATGGAGAACACGCATCACTTGACAATAACCGTCCCCCTATCAATCTGGCAATTGAGACAATAGATCATCAGTGCCAGGCCCCCGGCGCGGCCGGCCCGACATGCAGTGAGGCCGCCCCGCTTCGACTCGGAGACTGGCATGAATATGATACAAATAGACGTGTCGAATCGACTCGGCAGCTACACTGGCCGCGCATTCAATGAAGCTCGTAGTTTATATATTGACAATCATCATCCAAGCTTGCAAGTTGTCAACATCTTCAACCCCTTCACATGCCATTGCGTTGCAATGATCGTCTTTTGCCAAGACTAGACTGATCAGTCTTGGTAGGGCCCCCACGATCTCAAGCAAGCAAGCTGCAGCGTCAACTCATTCACTGATTGTACCCCCGGCGGTCTCACCGGAGCATTGCCCCATGGCTCAGCGTGGCCCAGGGTTTATAAGAACATGTGACCATCTCAAGTTGCAGGACGGTAGCGGCGGGCTGGCAAGTCGCACACTGCACACCGCCGGCGAGTCGCGGGAGAGCCGGAGCGACGGGGGAGCTAGCGGGTGGCTAGCGGCGTAACTTGAACAACATGATTCCTACAGTAGTGTCCCCGTAGTGTCGTTGAGCATTGTGTAGCGGGCAATTCTAAATAATCCTTACCGCGATGACATTGAATGATGTGTGAACTAGCATCAGGTACGTAGACCGATAGACCATCTGCATTCATGACATATGGAGTGACAGCGGGGAGCTGACTCATCGACTCAGTACAGTGTTCAACTGTTCAATGCATCTGCTTCAATCATCTCAATCGTTGGCACTAGTATTGATGTCAAGATGTATATATGTCAGAGCCCTTGCGACATTGCGAAGCCAGGCTGGATGGCATGGCTGGATAACCTTTTCACATGAGCCGGGCATGAGCCTGGAAGAGTCGCACCTTGCCTGCCTCGCGGAGATGATATGCCGCCGCTCGAGGTGCACGCCATGCCGACATAATGATATACGGTACAGCCGGGGCCTATCATGCATCAGCTCATCGCTGTCGACCGGCACGTGAAGGCGGGGCGGGGGGGCGAGACTGCCATTCTGTGGGAGGGGAACGACGTGGGGCGGGATTGTAAGCTGACGTTCCAGCAGCTACAGGACGAAGTCTGCCAGGTGTGCTTACCTCGCTTCTTGTAGAAAGACCTGGTGGCATGGCATGGCGGCAAGGCGGCCGCGCTAAACTGTCATGGGCGGCCGCGCTGCTTGCACGCCGCGCGCAGCTAGAGCTGTCACTGGCACGATCCGCGGCCGGCCGGCGACCGGCCGCGATTGCTGCATGCCGCGGCCGGCCGCAGTTGATTGCGACGACGGTATCCTATACGTAGTAGTACGACCCGCAGGGTTTGCAGTGTGCACATGGGAGGGGTTTCAATTTTAATTGCAAATTCAGGATTCATTTCCGGCAATCATGAAAGTCCTTACTGTGCCAGCCTGGCCCTTGTCAGTGCCCTTCTGATTGACACGTTTCGTAACATTAATTGTTGCAGGGTAACTTTTCGAGGCTTTTGACCACATTTCTCGGATCAGCTCGGAAATAGCTAAGTTTAGGAATACTATAAGCGGCAGGTATAATTGAAGCTCCACAGTCTGGGACGGGTGGGGTTAAAGTGGGGGTTAGGGTGGGTACGGGTGCGGAGCAGGTAGATTGTTGGGTTAGGGTTTTTGTGTTTGTTGGAGCTTATTAAATATGCCTGGCTCTTCATCATAAAATTTAAAATATGCATGAATTCGATAATCTACCTAAATTACGGTAGTCCGTCATTTCGGATCGGTGTCGGACTCCGGAGCGGCGGCAATGTGCATTATAGACGTCTGGGGTTCTTGCATTCATGACGTCTACGATGTAGTCATCAATCTGATGGAGGTGCAGTGCTCCCCAATGCAGCGGTTATGGAGCCTGAAGGCTGAAGTAGCATTGAAGCATACTTACGGCACATTGCCAGCTCGATTAGGCTAGCAGGAATCTGCTTCACAACGTATCCACCAGCTTGGTGGGGTCAGCCCCGTAGGCCCTGAGCGCAGGTCCAATGTGCGGTGCTTAGAACATCGTCAAATGGCCAATGATCGACATCCGGCAAAAACGCCGCCAATATAGCTTCTCTTATTGCACATGATCAAAGGTGGGATGAAAAACGCAACGGGCAGGAGATCTGCACCGCCAAAGTGCATTAATCCGTGGAAAGCAGGCGCTCACGCGCACTACGAGCTAACAGCTTTTTGGTTTGGGCCCTCGGGGCGCAAACAGTCCGCCGCGCCTGTTGAAAGCTCATCTGGTTGAGAAGTCTGGGGCCTGTCGCAGCTGAAGCCCGTGGGGATCTGGCAGCAAACAGCGCTTCCAGCGAGCTGGCTGATCCAAAGAGTGAAAGAGGCAGCTTTTCGTTGCGCCAGGTCCTTCCTGTCAACCGTGGCATTGATCTGAGTTTGCGTCATCCTTTGTGACTTGATAGATCTGCTTCCATGGGTATCTTCAGGGCTGCTTGTACGACTCCTAGGGAGCTCCATGAGGGGCGCACCTTCTGACTTTCACAACAGCCTCATTTGGAAAGAAAACACAGCTTGGCCTTGGTAGCAGCTGAGGAAAAACCCACACCAAGGCTCTTAGCTCTTTTATAAGACAAAGGCCTTCCGTTCCAGCAACATATGGCCTTCAGCTTCCAAACAAGTGGTATGTTGCTCCTTCCGCTAGCTGCATTTCTCGCCGCTTGTTTAGCAAACCCAGGGGCCGCAGTCAGCCCTAACCCAAGCATCCCATCCAACCAATGGATCCCCTCTAAGGGGGGGTGCAGCAAGTATTGCGCCGCTATGATGCAAGTCTGCCCCCCATCCCTGTTTCCCCAGGATGGGTTCCAAGCTCTGGCTGACTGCGAGGAAGCATGCCCGCTTTATCTGGTGCGCGGAGACGACGCTGCCTTATGGGGGGACAGTTTTGAGTGCCGCTTTAACCATGTGGGTTACATCGTAAGTCAGCAGCTGCCAGCGGCGGCTTATTGCCCCCAAGCAGGTGCGAGCGGAGGTGACACGTGCGTCGGCGGAACAAAGCTGGAAGAGTGAGTGCCCACATATGACAACCTCCTCTTTTCTCATCCCTTCTTTCCAAACACAAATGGATGCGGTGCACATTTCTCTCTGTTTTTACTTCTGTAAGTTTCAATGCCTTCCTGTGACATCCTACGACGAACGCCTTCTGGTGATATGCTATATTTGCCTTCAACTGATCGTCTGCGTTGGCCCGTCTCCCGGACGTTTCACTTTAAAGTTTTTCTCATCTGTTTTCCCCCCCTTTCTTTTTTTCCTCCCCTCATCCCTTGCGGTACTCTGCGGTCAGGACTTCCCTGGTGTCTTAAACGCTGAACTTCTCTGAAACGTTTGTCCTCAAGGAACCTGCATGACATCCGTCGCATCTCCAAAAACAGACACTGTCAGTAAAAAGACGTTCACCACTGCTGAGTAGATGCACGATTGCTTTAGCTGTGGTGTTTAGAAAGCGAGAACCCCCTTTCACCAGATTGTTCAAAGGGAAGACAGATTAGGCAGGAAGGCATGGTGCAGGGCTGTTCCTTTACAGACATGCATGGGGTACCTGATTGCGGGTCCACTTAGTGTTCTTCCGTGGTTAGCCTCCATTTTTGCTGCAAGTCGTACTTTCAGTCTAGGGTTTTTCTGGAAGGCAGCTGTCATCTCCGTGCCGATTCTTCTGATACGCCCACAGTAGGTGATGATCATGTCACATCACAGTCGTTGTCCTTTTTTTGCTTCCCCTTTCCGTTTGAGTATGCCTATGCTCTACCTGCTTTACTGTGGTTATGCTTCCAACCTGGACTATCCATGCTTGTCACTTTCAAAAAGCAAGGTTTTCAGATACACTTGCCAGATACGCAATTTTTCTAGTCACAACATCCATATTGGTTGCTATAAGTCTTGTCTGCAAAGCGTTGTGCCTTAACTACCAGACAATCTGATGGTTTCACTTATCTGAGTGCAGTCAAAACAGACTGCCTCACTTTAAAACGTCCCTTCTCCAGGTTCTTCGAGCTAAAGTCGTTTGGGAAAGCTCAGCTGTGGAATGGAACTCGCTCGCCTCTTGGGAGCCTCCTTACCGGAACCACCTACCTAGCAGAGGAGAGGCAGCAACTTCTGTTCAAGAATGTGTTCGACTCATACGAGTTGTATGACGACTTGGTATGTGCGCGGCTGAGCTTGCTACTTCCAGTGTAATCAAAACCTTCTAGTGCAGCCTCTTGGTAAAAGTCAATCTCTGGTTGAAGTTAAGTCTTGATTGAACGTGATCTATATGACGACGTCCCGGTACGTGCACAACTGAGCTTGCCACTTTTAAACCGTAATTAGACCTTGTAGTACAGCCTCTGGTGAAGAAGAACCTTGGTAAAAACTAGATTCTTGGTTCAAGCTATATCTTGGTTGAAAATAACTCTTGATTGATGTGAACCTTGGCTAAGCAGCCGGTGGCTGGTGTGTAGAAACGATGATCTGAGAATCAGAAAGAATCAGGTTGTCACTCCTTTTCGGAGCTGCAGTGCCGCTCTTGCACGTCAATCCCGCAGGCGCCTCCACACGAGGCTTGGGTGACGTAAAGATTGAAAATCTGCATATGGAAAGAATAGAAGAGCGGTCAAAGATGCAGTTTTGGGAATATATTCAGGCCTTCGAGCAGGCACTCTTCGAAGTGATGGACAGAGTGTGGACACCTGTCGATACCGTGTCCACTTGCGGATCATACAGACCGGCACGCTCTTCAGATCGTTCCAGGTTCTACAGTTCTGTGTGCCTTGGGTTGGAGCGGGCAGTCAAACCCCAGCCTCCTTGCCTCTTCGAACCAGCTGACACACTTCTAAATGTTCTCTCCTCTTGGCCTGCATTGCCCAATGACATAACCCGTCTTTCGTTTCCTTGCCTCAAGCATCCGAACATCAGCTGTTCTCCGTCCGACTTGCGTTACCGCACCGCCGACGGGCGGTGCAACAGCCCCTCCCTCCCGTCCATGGGCATGGCCTCTACTCGATTTGGCAAGAACAACCCCCCCGCATTCACACCAGCCTCTTCCTCCGAGCTTCCCCCGGACCTGCTAAACCCCAACCCCTTCCTGGTCGCCGAGACGCTCCTGAGACGGAACGGCGGATTCCGGCCGGCGGAAGGGCTAAACCTGCTAATCCCGGCCTGGCTCCAGTTCAACAACCACGACTGGTTCAACCACGGGCGCGACGCGGCCGCGCCGCCGCTGTGCTTACCGATGGGGGCCCTGTCGGACGCGGATCCACTCGGTTCCGCAGCCCGGAACGGCAGCGGAACATTGGAACAGGGGGCTGAATGTTTCAACCTTACGCGCACCCAGCAGTCGAGTCGGCCGGGGACTTTTGCCAATACTGTGACGCACTGGTGGGACGCTTCGCAGCTGTACGGTTCGGACAATCTGACGCAGGGGGGCCTTCGGACGTACGAGGGGGGGGAGATTTGCACAGTGAAGGGGCCGTTTGGAGAGGATCGGCTGCCGAGGGAGAGCGAAACCGGGTTACCGGTGACCGGGTTTAACGACGACTGGTGGATGGGGCTCAGTTTGATGCACACGCTGTTTGTGAAGGAGCACAACGCAGTGGCGCAGGCGATCCAAGTGAGTCCTCGAAGGGTCAAGTTTTCATTGTCTGGAGCAACAAGGAATCAGCAACTGAAAGGGGGGAAGAGCCCCTTTTCTATTCTCGCTTTCAACTCATCTTAGTTCTCCACGTGCTTGAGCTTTGAGGCGCTCTCAATAGAGGCGGGTCGATCAGCTAGGAAGGAAAGCGAGTAACGCTGGGGCTTTGTTGGCTCATGTCGGATGGACGTTTTCGTTGGCCTTCTTCCAGGGCCACCAAACCTCTTGCACTGATTGTTCCCAGCCTCCAAAACCTTTTTTTACGCAATTCAGCCCCAGACTCTGCTCTTCTGCTCTCAGGCGGCCGACCTGTCTCTCTCCGACGAAGAACTGTTCCAAAAGGCGCGGCTCGTCATTGCGGCGGAGATTGCCAAAATCCATACCCTCGAATGGATGCCCACAATTCTTGGATTCAACCCGGTGCTTTCCTCCGGGTTGGACATCATCTGGCACGGCCTTAGCGCAGACCTGCCCATCCCGTCGGGTTTTGACACCGGGATCCTGCAGGTAAGAAGGACAGGATTTGAAGAAGGAATCATCCGAAAAGGACTTGCGGGAGACGATTTTACCTTTCTGATCGAGGATTAATGATCAGATTCTCATGTTTTGTGCCCGTTCCAGGGCTATTTTTAAGTTGGCGAGCTTTACGCGGCGTTTGAAGGATATTATGATCCAGGGGAGCGAGCATGCAAGTCTGTGCGACGGCTGTGACAAAGATCTCTCGGCTACCCTGCTCTGGGTATGCGAGCAACGGGCACGTAATCGTGTGCTTCAAAGCCAATGAAAAGTGATGAGGCTCTTCTGAGACTTTTTGATGTGCTGTCCACGTCTGCTCTTCGTTCCAGGTTCGTTGCACGTGTGTGCTCCGTCATGCGATTTTGGTTCGTAAACGGCCGAATCTTTCGTTTGCGAGTTTGAACGGTCTCGCTGACGTCAGCAACGCTCCCCTCCTTCTCTGATCGCACCCGGCAATTCATGTGACCGTCTGTTGACGCTCCTCCCCCCCCTCTCAGTTTTCGGCGGCTCTGATCGTTGGTGCATCTTCTTCCCTGCTTGGCAGAGCCCAGCAGTTCGGGGCATCGCCGACAAGACCTACTACGCCGGGACGCCTTTCTCCATCACCGAGGAATTTGCGGCGGTCTCCCGAATGCACTCTCTGCTGCCGGAGACGATAACGCTCCTGCCAAACAGCACCGTTAACGGGGGCCCGGCAAATGTGACGGTGTATCCGGTCAGCAACACGTCGTTTGCGGGGGCGGAGGCGCTGCTCGACCGGCATAGCATCCAGGAATGGCTGACCGCTTTTGGAACCGGTAAGCTTTGCGGAGCCTTTGTTCACAAGAGCGCCTCGTATCGACTTTTATCTGTGTCGAGACGGCTGTGGTCGCAGCTATGCTCGGCATGAGCTCCTTCTAAAAGGACGAGCAAAGTTTGATCAGTTCAAGTGCGACTGCCCATTTTGGCAGTCTGAGAATGGCCACAACGGCCTGAGATCGTCGTTTCGATCTGACCTTTCTTGCCTCCGTGGAGAAGCACGGGCATTTGCGGCGAAGGTCATCGCAGGTGAAATATTGCGGCACTTGAGAAATTTGGGCTGCCCATAGAAGTCTGCTTGCTTCTCTGTACCCGCTGTGAACAGTCTCTCAGTCTAGCATTGAAAAGAAGCCGACCCATCGAGCCACGCGTCCACGCAGGCACCCCCGGCGCGCTGACGCTGAACAACTACCCTGACTTCCTCGCCACACTAGTTCACCCGACGAGGGGATCCCTCAACATGGCCGCCATCGACATCGTGCGCGACCGCGAGCGCGGCGTACTGCGCTACAACGCGCTCCGGCGCGCGCTGCGGCTCACCCCCATCACGACCTTCGAAGACCTCACGCGTGAGGAGTACACCTTATCTTGTAGCGTTGCCAGATTTAAGTCTTTTTCTCACGGTTGAGTTGGAGAACGTTTGATCCAAACGGTCGGTGAAAGGCTGAGGGTGCTGCTTCAACGTTTTGACCAGGTTCGACCGAATATGCTTAAGGAAAGGGCAGATCAGAATCTTCTTATCTATGCCATTCAAAGGGAGGGGTCAGGACATTCTGCAAGAAACGCTGTGCTGGGAACTGACGTTAACTCTCTTGGAATAGGAACCACAACTCATTATGCTTCTCGCCGCCATAAAATCAATCGCGGTGCAGCTGTACACGTACATCCAGAATCTTGTCGACACACACTGCCTTGCTTCCTTCTTCTCCGTAGCCGACACGAGCGTTATGATCCTGCCCCGTCTCTTGTTCCTTGTTTCTCTCATGAACCGCTCCTTTATTTATTGCCGCGACTTCCCGAGCTTCCTAAACTGATGAAACGCCTCTTCATCGGTCCGTCATTCCCTATTCTCTCATCTGATGAACGCCTCTGCAATCCGATTCACTCCCCCTGTATCTCATCCGCAGTCTTTCTCTTCCGCAGCAAACGCGACGGTCGTGTCCCTGCTCCGCTCCGTCTACTCCAGCGCTGATGACGTGGACCTCCTCGTCGGCTGCCTCGCGGAGGAGCCGCGGCCGCGGGGTTTTTCGTTCGGCGAGACCGCATTCACACTCATCCTGCAAATGGCCTCTCGCCTCCTCAAGACCGACCGCTTCTTCCAGGAGGCCTTCACGCCCAACGTGTACTCGCAGACGGGGATTGACTGGGTCAACAACGCAACGTTCAAAAACGTAAGTGCCTTGATTCGAGAGAAATGTTTCGGTAGCTAAGTCGGTTACCGCCGTGAGGCGCTCTGACCTGAGGTCGTTTGAAGTCTGTGACCGACGCTCTTGAAAGATAAGAATTGTCAAAGGCGAGCGAGAGAGTGAGGTCCGGTCCAAACTTTGAGCATAACTGTTGAGGCCCTTGAATTAACACGTTCAAGTGGACGGTTCTTTCCTCGGCTCGGATTTCGATGTCCGTCCAAAGCTCGCGCCGTTCTCGAAGACTATTTTCAAAGCTGCTGCCAAAGACTCCCGACCCCCGTGAAAGCCGACGCTAGGCCGGCAGTGCGAGAGCGTGTCAGATTCGCGCAACGGAATGATTGTCGACGCCGAGACATTGTCCATCTCTCGTTGGCTCTCAACATGTGGCCTGATCGATGAGGGACAAGCAAGCCCATTCACCAGAGTCACGAAGAAGAGCTTTCAGATAAACTCAGGGCCGACAGTATATAAGCAATTAACAAACCGAAGTTGATCTTTGCCGCACAGGTGCTTCTGCGCCACTTCCCGGAGCTCGCCCCCGCCCTCGCCGGTCTCCCTAACCCGTTCGTAACCTGCAACCCTTTCGGCCAAACCAGCCAACCACCGACCGCCAACTCCTTCCTCCCGAGCGCCTACGACGTGGCGACCGCAAAGCTCGCCGCCCGCGGAAAAGGTCGCCCGGGGCTTCAGAATCGAGCGCCCCAGCCACTTTCCGCGGCTGACATTTTCGAGCAGAACCTGGCAAACCAACCGGACATAAGCTTTGACGATCTGCCCGGTAACCCGGTGGTTGACTGCCGGGTTAGTAAGTTGTTAGCCCCCGTGAAAACCTGTCTCGGGGGGGTGTCTCAGCGGTGTTGCGAAGCGATCGACGCAGCGTTCGCGCCTGGCGCAAATGCGTCGACCAGAAACTGTTTGTGCTTGCCGACGGTCGCGGCCGCGGGGCGGCAGGTCGCGCGCGGGTTTGGGGTCGACTTCGAAACGGTGAGGCGGCGCGGAGGTGAACCGACCACCATTGTCAGGTTCTCTGTTGGTTCTATATCTGAGACTGGTGCCTGGATCGGAGTAGCTTGCATCAATTCAAGTTGCTTTATGTGCACGGCAAGGTTTGGAAAAGAAACCGGGTTGGAGGCCGATGTGGATGCGGAGTCTAAGATCTAGACTGGGAGGTTCCGCTTTCTTGAGCCCTTCGAACGAAGGTCTTCAATCCGGCCGGCTGCAAAGCCCCACTTCGCTTCCTCCCGTCCCAAAGTCTATTCTTGCTGTTCTAACCGACTTACCTAAACGAAGTTTGAAGACCGATCAGGCGTACTTTGATCTCGTAACTTGTTAATGAAACATTTACCCGCTATATTTGACTCTACCCCAGGTTTTGTCCGACTGTTGGATGGACTACGGGCTGCAAACCAACTGGTTTGGCGAGATCAACGGCCACTGCCCGGCGTTCCCGTCGCAATCCGACCCGTACACGTGGCGCGCGCTCGCGCCCAACATGGTCGTTCTGCTCCTCATCTACTGGGCGTTATGTGCCGCCGCGGATTCCGCGCTCCGCCGCTGGGCGCCGCCCTACCGGAACCTCTCGCCGCTCAAGCAGCGGAACGTCGCGACGTACTTCCTCGAGGTCCTGGTGACGTCAGCGGCGCTCGCGCTGACGCTGACGTACGGCTCGGACGTCCTCTTGTACGGCCGCACCGGATCGCCCAACGTGCGGATCGGCTTACTGCTGATAGCGACGCTCTACGTGTTCGAGCTGATCTACCGGAACGAGACCGGAATTCCGCTCCTGCTGCACCATCTCATCACGGTCCTGCTGCTCGTGCTGCTCGTTTTTTCGAGCAAAGACAACGCGCCGTCGGCCGAGGCGCGTATCGTTCAGCGGTTTGGGCTGCTCATATCGCTCCACGCGTCCACGGAGCAGCTCACGTTCGTGGGGCTCGCCATGTACCGGCTGGGCCACCCCTGGGCCGCGCGCGTCATGAAGGTGAGCGCGCGCGAGCCTTTACATTGCGCGCGAACGTTCGCCGAGCAAGGAAGGGGTGTGGCTCGTGAAATGTTGCGCTCACCTTCTTTTTTCCTGAGATTACTAACTCCGACTTGCTAATGTCTTCAATTCTCCGGCGCTGGTTTTGACCATTGGAGCAGGGTTGCCTGAAAACACTCATTTGGAAATCTCAGTTGAGGAAGCACCGCATCTGGACTTATTTCGGATCGAGGATGTCGCTTTGAAGCGCCGGTGCCTCCAATCGGTGGAGCCGCAATCCGGGGCGCATACTAGAGGTTTTCCAGATGCCGTATAAATTTCCTGAGGTCTTGACCAAAGCTAGTGCGAAGTCCTGTCCAGGCTAGCGGCCGTCCAGACACGAGGAAGTTATATATCAGAGATCACTGGCAGGCCCTTCGAAGCACTCCTGAAATGTTGAGCGACCAGACTCTGGCGTTCAAAATCCTATTATTGTAGGACTCAATAATAGGAGTGAAGTTACTGACAGCTCTCACTCGGGCACGGTCCACTTCAATGCGAGAGATCAGAATCAGGTCAGATGCCACTCCGCCTGCCTGGACTTTTTGTCATGCTCGGGTCTGGACCACATGTTTTTAGATACTCATCAACCGTTCCCAAAAAACGGTGCCCTCTCTGCAGATCTCCACGTGGCAGGTCCTCGTCTTCAAGCTCGTCATCAACGCGCTGACGTGGGTACTCATGATCGACTACTACGTCACCAAATACGACGACCCATCCGCATCGCGTACCAGCACCAACTGGCACATCGTATGGCCTTTCCTGATCCCCTTACGCAACACGGCTCTCTTCTTCGCCCAACTCTACTCCGTCTACATCATCCACGTCATCGCGTCGCAGCACGAGGGGCGCGCGCGCGCGCTCCACTTGGGGCGCCGCGCTGGCGCCGCCAATCCCAGCGGTGGCGACACCTCGTCCGGTGATGACGTCAGCGAGCCCGGGGGGGGGAAGGTGACGTGGCAGCCGGAGGGCACGCCCAACGAGGAGAAGAAGATGCCTGCTTTTGAGCGGAGCCGGAGCGCGCCGGCGGCCGCGCGGTTTGCACGCCAGCCTACTTCGCACTGCGAGCACACGTTTGCGCGCCAGGCGGGCGAGCGACAGGATCCGCGACGCGTTCGACCAAGACATGGAGATCGTGTGAGCGCGCGCGCGTGCATGGTTTCGAGCCGCTTGGCTCGCGCTCGCGCACAAGGTGGGC